AATAATTTATGTTTAGTTTACAGAAACAGAAACTAGAGGAGTGGAGGTGCCATGAGGAGGAGGTGGCAGCAAAGAAGTCACAATTAGAGAAAACAGCACAAGAACATATTTGGCAGCAGCAGTAGGATTACCACAGGAAGCTTCTGCAGTTCCAGAAGAAGCAACAGCTAGAGGAACACGGAGCAGCAGATGGTCTATAGAAAGACTAATGCTTACTTTAGCAGCAGATCAGAATGGATGATTTCTGATAAAGACATAGCCTGTGTCTGTCTGCCTTGAAATTCCTGTGACACTATGTCCCAAACTTGCAGTACCTAAGCTGCTCCTCTGTTAAACAAGTTATGGTAACAATAGTCCTCTTTTCTCAGGCTGCAGGGACTGTGGCAGAGAGAAATTCCACAGCCTAGCTCCTATCCAATGTGCAAGATTCCTGGAAATAACACCATTCATGCTACATCTGATTGTTTTCGTTATCTTCTCTGAAAGCCTGACTCACAGCATCAACTGTTAAAAAAAGAGATTCTAACAAATAGTTGCAGAGAAAGGCTTGAACAAAAATCCAATTAGGATTTAAGAAAAACGAATATGAGACAGTATTAAATACTTGTAATGTCAGTATTACAACAGTATTTTCTTTTTATCTATAATTGATACATTTATTTCCGAAATAGAAAGTACGGAAACAACCAATAGTTGTTGCCAACTTTCTAAGAAGCACAAAAATTCAGACAAAAAGAAGGGGTGACATAGTTAGAGTAAGAATGCCAGCAGCTGATTGACATGGCAGTAAAACACCTGGAATTCAAAGGAAAAAACTGAGAAAAGGCAACATATAAGGCTGAGGAGCAAATGAAGAAAGAAGAAGATGCTAGACTACCTCTAGAGGAAGCCAAAACACAAGGACAGGTTTTAAATTTCATCAGGTATGTAGCTATTAATCAAAGAATGAAGTTAATATTTTTCCTCAGTTATATCAACACATCTTTACACTTAGTGCCAGCCTATACAAAAATAGTAGGAGTTCTATCAGTGTAGATAACACTGGAGAGCACCACTGGTACCTCAGGAGTTAAACTGCCATCAATTCCAGCCTCAAGACACAATGCTCTTCTTTTACTATTTAACCAGTTTTTCAGTATTTCCCCAAATTGCACCAGCAATTGACATGCACCTGCATTCTCCAATTATTTTACTGTTTATAACACATTACAGAAAGAAACCCCGCTGGATTTCCCTGAAGACCTGAAGTTATGGTTACCTTTACACAATCCATCAGAGCAGTCTCCAGAGCTTCCACAACTTCCTGCAGCACCTCAGAACACAGGAACTGGGAGGCTGCATAGTACACATTAAAACATTGCAAATTGCTTAACAGGCCTTCTAGGTCAATTTATGAGCCACAAAGCCCTGCCAGGGATAAGAGGCCAAGCAATAACTACAGCTGAGCAGCAATTAGCACCTACCATTTGCTCTATTCTTACTGCTGTGGCAGGACACAAGCTGGCCCACAAGAAGGTATCAGGACAAAACAGCCTATTCCAAACCTTGCTCAAAGACAACTCCTAGGGGAAGCCCAGGCTCCTGCCCAGCCTCAGTGCTACAGAAGGTACCACATGTACTGTGGCAAAATCAAAGAAAGAGCCAGTGCACCAGCAATGAGCTCACCAAGCGTGTACGTGTCAAGTCAACACACCAACCCCAGAAGGAATTCTGTCCTGCATCTCCTTTATTAACACTGTTTGCAGGCAAAGAACAAATCTGAAACCACCTCAGCAGTCCAAGCAGCATGACTAATGGAAGCTACCGGACTGGAACATACTCATCATGTCCTCATTCCACGAGTGTTTTCTCACATTCACCTGTTTAAAAAGCTAGGCCTGAAAGGAGTACAGAAGAGTTAGTAAATGCCTGGAATGAGTTGTTGCAGTGAGCTCTTTCAGCTGCATTCAAATTCAAGGACCCTGGATTCAAGGATTCAAGGTCTGGCTCAAGAGAAACCCTTTGGCACAGGTGCTACTCATTCACATATTTATCTTCCTAGACTGCAACGCTAGTCTGTATTGATAGCCCAACAATAAGAAGTAAAGCCATTCATACTGGATGAGTCAGTAGAAATGAATCCAGATAGACCTCCTGAGGTACCAGAATAGATTCTTTGGTCCATTTTGTGTTAAGAGATAAAACAATGCAATCACCAGGTTACAAAAAGGTATGAAGTCCTTAGTGCTGACTTCTGGAGAAATCCTCGAAAACAATAAATTGCAATAAAAATGCTACTGTAAGAAGCAGCTAGATTTCATATTCAGCATTAAAAAACTACAGGAAAACCATAGCAAGGTACGTTCTTATCTTCCTTACCAATTAGGCTATTCTCTTTTTTTTTTTTTTTTGCTTCTCTGATATTTTCTAGCCAAGTGTAACACTTGTATATTCGATTCATATTGCAGTTCCTGTGGAGTTTCCTGTGGTGAAGAGTAATCAATTTTTGGAGTCTCTAAATTGGAGCTGAACTTCATTAGGCATGCATTAAGTACTGGTTCTAAAAGCAAACCAAAACCAGTTTAAACATCCAGTACAATTCCCACTGGGTCTCTCTAGAGCACTTCAGAGGTTGATTTTCTCATTTAAGAAAATTTACCTGAACACCAATAATTCAAGTGTGCACACAGAAGATGCACAGCACAGGTCATGCCAATATTTTAATACTGTAGTCTTTCCATTTAAATTAGGAAAAGCTAAAAACTAGTAAACAACTAGCATTTCTAAACCAATACATGGCTAGTCAAAATTCATGGCAGAATCCACATATTAGCATTATCTAACATATTAACTGAAGTCCAAATCCTGCCAACATTTATGCATTTAACTTCAAAAAAATCCTAATTTTATCAAACTGGTGATCATGCAGACATGTTTATACCTAAGAGAATACACAAATCCTTTAGGAAGAGCAGCTTTGAGAAAAGGTATTAAGACTGATAGTTTTGTAAAGTGCCTTTCAAATAAAGCTTGTATACATCACCATAGTGAATATTAAATATAGTCACAATTCCAACTAAAGTATTAGCTTCCACCTTCTATTCCATAACTGACTCAGTGAAGATGGTTTTATTCTCCCAAAACTTTTTAAGCACTTAAAACCAACCTTTTTTTAATCCACAAAGACAAAAAATTGCAAGAGGAAATATTTTCTGTTTTTCTCCACCACATGAAATCTAACCTTATTTCCAGTTATAGCCTTCAAAACTGTAAGTGCTTTAGAACTCCCACTCTAGACCACCTTTTTAGAAAGAAATTATTTGAAAAGGACTAGCTCTTCTAAAAAGAAAAAAAAGAAAAAAGAAAGAAAATAAAGTCTAGCTCCTTTACTTCAAAACTCAGGTTTTCCTTTAAGTTCAGGTTTTTTTCAACCTATAATCCCCAAGAATTAACTTCTTTAGAAAGGGTACTAGTGCATCTGTAGCACGTGTCTTCTCATTTTGCACAGAGCTCTCAATACTAATTTTTGAGGCACAGGACAGTTTTCCCATCATTATTGCACTATCAAGTTCTATCAGCAAAGCCATGACTTTGGACCAGCAGCTATGCTGAGGCTCTTTGAGGCTTCACAAGTCTGAGAAAGAGGTCAAATCAGTCTGTCACTGGTTCCACATCCACTCTATAAAGAGATGTATTTTAGGACAAGGTTACAGAACAGAAAGCAATCTTCGCCTTGAGCTTCATCCTCCTGAAGCTGCATTTCGCAGAAAACCCTCCTCCACAGTCTCAAGAGAATCAAATGCAGTGCTTCAGCTAGAAAGCTGATATAAATGAGCATATAAAAACTGATTTGGAAGAGGAAAGTGAGCAGCTAGCAGCAAAGATAGTCAGAGCAGCCACTAGAGTACTAGCATCAAACCCCAGGGATGTGGATTCAGTTCTCAGCTTCCACAGTGACCCCAGTAAGCTGCACCTCAGTTTCTAGTTTGCAGAAGAGAGAAAACAGGAAGTTGCCTATAAAAAAAAGAGCATTATACAAATTTTAATTTAAAAGATGATCTGGTAATTGTCACAAGGTTGTTTTATTTTTGGTATTCTGAAGCAAATGTATTTAGTATTTTAAAAAAGCAATTGGAGGTAAGTGCAGAGAAGCTGTGTTGTTCTACATCATCATAGCAATCCTTTCCTTAAGAACTGAATTACATAAAATACTTTAAGAAAACCCCACATTCTGACATTTTGTAAACAAAAATTTTAATCTTTAAAAAATTGCTAAGTGCAACTATGCATACAAAAGTATTACTAAATCAGGAACAGGACAACCACAAGCATGAAAGAAAATGCACGTCTAGCTTTACAGCAAATGCCATTAAAAAAATACTTAAAACTTGCTATTTTTTCCAAGTATGCCAGCATGTGTCTTTAACTGAAGCTGGCATTTAGATAGAATTTGATTTACCAAACAAGTCCTATTCATCTGCAAAAGAGGTGAAGCAAGGAAGAGTACTGAAATCTTCTCTTCACACTACTCTGCCCATAATCTCCTACCTTAGCTTTCACATCCAGTAAAAAGTTCTCAAACTGACCATTTGTAGCCTGCAGATAACTGGAACATGTAGACCCTGATAATGATGCCCAATGAACTGTCATGACACTTCCATGTCATGCATCACAGATTATTTAATGGTACCATATCATATGAAATGTAGACATTAAAAGCCATTTTTGTTTACTTCCAAGTTGCATTTTCAGTTTAAATTCCGTGCATGAGTGAATATTTATGTATGTGAATATTCTCTTCCAAGAAAAGAAACAGCTAATACTCTCTAAGAGTCACCTGCAAAACAAGCAGATCAAGTATTTTACTAGGGCAAGTAGAAAAAAAAGAATTTTTATGAGGTATATTTACAGAGCACAATTTCTTTCTGGCTTCAACTTATACTCACTGGAAAAGCATACCCTAATCATAACTTCTAATGGTTTTGCTTACTTCCAAATAGTTGAAAAGAAAATGCAAGTTATTTATAAAATTGGTTTTTTTGTTTATTTTAAATGAAGCTGGTACAGACAATGTCCATTCAAAACCCACGTCCCAGGCCAAAAGGTACAAACAAGAGTGTCAAAGTAACACCAGTTGGCTGCTGTGAACATTCTTGCATGGATACCTGCGCATACTAATTCCTATATGAGGTTAAAATGCTTCTGGGCTCTTCTGGTAATATTTAAAAATCATTAGGGTTTTCAATTTCACGTCTTCAGCAAAGCCATCTCTGGAGCAAGGAACAGATGACAACAGTTCTAGCTTCTCCATTTCCAACTCGGCAATCTTCTTCATTGGGCCATCAGCACAATTTAAGCAAAACAGCTGAGTTATGGGTACACAACTTCTCCACAGTTTAGTTCTCTGAAAAACTTCATCTCGCACTGAAAGTTATAGTCCAGGAGTGAGACAGTCACACATCAAAACTTCAGGGCAGATATGGAAGTCATTAAGAACACTCGCCCACCTGGCAGATCTTACAGCCTTCGTGCCTGAAATGCACGAACCCAGTGAACATACAAATGCATGTGAGTACATGTAATCCTAACGGGGAGGGCAGAAGGGAAGAGGGGAGCAAGGTTGCAGCTGGATCACAGAAGTTCAGCACAATGAAAACAGAAACAATAGTGTATAATGAGCACGAGAATTCAAAATACCAGACGCTTGAAAGTAAACTCCCAGAGATGGGGTGCCAGTTTCAGTGTTGAACACCACATTACAAAAGAACTATTATTTAAAAATAAAAAAGGATTAAGGGGGAAGAAAATCAGAAGGATCTAAACTGTTGAGTGACCCCCCGTCTGTTCCTGATAAACTTCAATCACATCTTCCTCCTCCATCCCCAACTGTGAGAAAAGAGAAAAAAAAAACAGCAAGTCACTGTTAAAAATCTGGTGTGATGAAATCAGAGCAGGTCCTAGACAAATTATACAATGCTTTGTTCCTCTGTCCCATCATAATTCATCAAAGGGGTGAAAAAAGTTTCAGTAGCCATCTTACTAGACAACATTCACAATTTTTAATCCTGTTTCTTCAGAATTATGTATTTGAGTCAGAGCAAAAGCCTTACAGCAAAGACCCTCTTGTGGAGCAGTACACATCAGTCTGGAAGTTGCTGGCTTTACCTTTCTCTGAACCCCTTGTTTAGGGGGAACAAGGACATCACCAATATCATAGTGAATGCACCAGCTGTAGAGCCACGTGAATTATATATATATGCACTACTAGCTCACAATACAGCTTAACACCTACACCTTGCAACTCAAAGCCTCTTTACAATGTTCTCTCACAGAGAGCAACTTGTTCAATTTCACAGTGAACAAGTTTGTTTGATATTTTCAGAAGGTCATTATAATGAGTTTCTTCCTGCTTTTTCATAACAATTGGTGGAAGTCACTGGACAGAAGTAACTGTTTTCTGTTTATCTACACTTTGATCTACTAAATGTGAACTAAATACATATTTATTCCAAAGTCACACTGAAGTTCAAGCTCAACAACGGAAAGATTCCCTTTGTGTTTTTCTCCCCTCTACTCAGCAGTGACTACACCCTCCTTTCTGAGGCATTACACATGGAGGTCCAACCAGGCTCTTTCCAAACTGCCTATCTGCCTTACTAAAAGATCCTAGTTAAAGAAATATAGTCCAACTATATTTTTAGAAAGAAACTCACCTCCTTGGGGGTATGATTATCAGTAATTCTCTGACCCTCAAAGAGAAACCTGAGTGAATTCATTGGAACACCCTAAAAAAGAAACATGTATAAGAAAAAAACCCACCTTAGTGAATCTTGTATCGGCTTACAAGAAAAACCATTTTAAATAAAAGCAACATATGAAAGTCATAAAAGAGTATTAGTTCCTGTTACACAGGGAGCTCAGATATTCTGTTGCACTCATGTAGACTACAAAGAAGGGACTCAAAAAGTATGATAGTGCCAAAACGGATGTTTATTCCAGAGTCTCACTGGAGCTCCAGCTCAACAGCTTGGATGTTTTCTTAGCTTTTTTAATTTGTCTTTATCTATGAAGTAAGTAGTGACTATACCCTCACTCCCAAGATATCATTACACATGTATTTTTCTGAACTGCATATCAGCCTTATTTAAGGATCCTAAGACAACAGGAGGAACATGATATTTACTTCATTAACTCCTACCCTTGCTTTCCCAATCTTCTATTGCTACAGGAAGGAATTGTAACCTTTACCATTATCAATTCTGCAAATGCTCAGCATTGGGAACAAGAAAGAGCAGAGCTGAGAGGGAGAAAAAAAAAAAAAAAATCGAACAGCATTCAAACAAGGAGAAACAAATATCCCCAAGGTAAATAGAGTTAAAGTATGTCTGTTGCACAATGTGTCCATGTTCTGGCAGAACGTCATACTTCACATCAATAGATAAGGCAAACACCTCATCTCTTCCTTCTCTTTTAAGTTATGAGCAAAACAAACTCATGGGAAATATAGCACAATTTTATCACTTAGCTCTAACAAATACTGCTTGCAAATAACCAGGAAGAAAATTTTTTCAGGTAAGGACAGATCTTCACACTGTTTCAACAATCCCTCTGGCCAATGTGGAAGAAATCTTCATAGTCTCTTTACCAGAGAACCAAACTTGACACCAAAAACTGCATTGAATGCTGCAAAGGAAATCATAGCCCCTCCAGAATTCAGCTCAGGAGATACAGGTGCGTTCAAACAATTATTTCTTTCTTTAAGAAAGAATTCCACACATGCATGTTCATTAGTCAGTAAGACTGCTGCATGAATTATTTCCAATATTTTTTTTAATATCAGGTTTTTTAAATTAATAATAATTTTAACCATTTGGATTTGCCTACAAATGTGTTTGATCTTTTCTTTCCTCCTACTCCAGAAAGACAGCAAAAAAGAACACATTTTGTGAAAGAACACTTCAATGACAAATTCAACTTGTCTCGAAGTATTAGGAAAAAGCCCCCAAAGTATTATTACTTATGATTCTATCTCCTGAAGTGAACTCCAACACACTTATCCAAGAAAAGGCCACACAAGGCATCTATCCCCAAAGCTGAGGGCAAACTAGGCCAGGGCTTCTGGAAATAGCAGCTGTGACTCCACAGTATCTACCACAGAATCTGGAAGTGCAGATATATTTTTGTTCTGTAACAACTGTTAATATTTACCTGCATACACAATTAATAGTGCAGATTTCTTTAACTTAGGGTATAACTTCACAATTATCTTACATAGGAATATTCCTACTTGTCAAAAGAAACAAGGAGATCCATTCTATTTGTACCACAAGATACCTCAAAAGTCTTTATTTGAAAGCACTGTGAAAAAAGTGGTTTGGGTTTTTATTTTCTTTTAAAAGAATATCATTGTTTCACAAACCTGTCTTTGACAGTATGATTCTTTGAGTTTCTTGAGGTGTGTTGTCATTTTCACCTTGAAGTGAATTTCACTGCTGTCCTAAGGACAGAAAAGAAAAATAATTACTCTCCCTGTAGTAACTGCTAACTTTACCTATTTTACTTTTAAAGATTTCATTAGAAAAACCTTATATAAAACTTACATGGAACATGGAATGTGATTTAACTATCACCATGCATACCTTGGTGCATTGTAACGTGAATCTCCAGGATGATTTATCAGTCACTAAATTTGCTATGTACTTCCACAGGAAGCTCTTTTTAAAAAACCAGATGGCATAGTATAGCCTTAGGCTCAACATGGTGGTTTTGGATTCAAAATTACTAAAACCCATACATGGTTCAGTCTGTGCTGCCATCTTTACCCAGATGATATACTTGTGAAATACAAACATACATATGCAGGGGATTTCTGCTCTAAGATTCCTAAAGAGACAAGTTAAAGCTTGTACTTCAAAATATATACGAAACCTCGTTCAGTTAGAGTAATTATCTAGGAGTTAGGATACAGGCAGACTTGGCAACACAAGACAAACCTAAAGAGAAATCTCAGGTCTTATTCTGTAGTCCTTCCCAACAGTCATAAGATGCAAGTAGCTGCAATTTTCAAAATGGCTACAGATAAAACAGATTGCAAGAGGTTCTGTGCAAAAGGCGGGTGGGCCACTTGCAGCTTTTCAGTGTGTTCCTATAACTGCTGACTAGGCCAGCAAGAGGTAAGGGAGTTTCTGTCAGTCCTACTTGAAAGTCATCTGTCTCCACCCAACTGCAGCAAACAATATGACTCCAGCAAACAATTCTAGTTCAGTCATCTGAGCTAGGGGTTCTTTGCAAAGAAGATTCCAATATTCTCAACAATCACATTCCAACGCAGCCAGAGTACAGATTCTAATCCACCATTCATCTGATTGCTACATCTACCAACAATCCTTTTCCTATCCCTCAAAAGGAAAGCTGACCTCATGCCTAGGGTACTACACAAACTTTGAGGACCTTAATTTATCAAGTTTGCCACTTATTTCATTCATACCCTTGGATAAATGAAAACCTCAATGCATCAAAAAAATCGCACCAGAGTATACTAATACACATTTATGGCAACTGGAAGTAGTTTATGTCAGGGGAGGATTCATACTGTAAAACTGAAAGTATCAACTTGCATTTGGTCATTTTTACCACACAAGAAGTCACACCTCCATCAAATGTCAACAAGCAATTATGTAAAAAACTCACCTGCCCAATGACTTTGAGTTTAATGTACTCCCCTTCTTTCTTATCTCCTAAGTCCTCAGCTGAAGGTTTTGCTTCCTGCAAGAAAAACATAAAAAAGCCTGATCAGTTCGACACTTCATTATTTTCACTGGACAGTATGGCAGCTGTCACCCTCTTTATTGTGTGAAATCAGACTACTCAAGGTGTCTCTTTCTTTGTGTGTGTGTGTACAAAAAAAATAGCAACATAGTATTATGAAAGGTTGTCTGTCTATCTGTGAGAAGTTTAATTAACGAGAGAAAAGAAACACCATAAAGAACATAAGAGATGAGAGAAGACTCATTTGGAAACGGATGACATACAAAAATAAGTATGATTTTATACCTCTAATTCCTAGACAACAAACAAACTGCAAAAAACCCACAAGAAGCACACTAAGAGGCTCAGATATTTGACAGAAAAAAGGAACATTGTGAGGAGAGTAAACAGAAAGCACTTGTGACACCCTATCAACTTAAAGAGAGTGAACCATGCAAACAGTTTTCAACCCACTGCATCAAAGGTAGTCCTTATTTTCAAAAGGCTGGTCAGCTACCTTCTTTTCTATGAAAACAAAAGAGCTTCCTTCTAACACGTTTGTTTTAAGACCACAATACTTCAAAGTTTTAAAAGGTGTAGTTCCAAGCACTATAGTGTTTTGATATCTTTCCAGGGTAAGAATTAACTGTACAGACAAGTTTGATTCAACAACTTGAGCACTAAAGCTCATCAAAAGGGTTTAAGTGTTATACACTCTAAGACATTAATTAAGGACATCAGAGTTTTCATGTTACTGGTTGATAGATGAAACAAGTGAGAAATCAGGTACTATTAACCCCATTCCTTGCCTGTCCCTGCATATCCTGCATCAGGCCTTTAGCTATGTTCCACTGCAGGATAAAGGGATTTTACACACACATCTGGTCTAGATGGTGCTCAATGAAGAATTGCTCCCAAGTAGTCATACCACAGGTACCCTGCTGATCACATTTGAAATCTTCCTTTTATATTCTACTGCTTAACATTGTAGACAAAATAAGTTATGTACAGGTGCCTACCACAGGCTTCCATCCTAAAAGGGACTTTTTACTAAATGTACAGAAATATTCTTTGTATTGTTGCATTTGAAATTTAGGACCAAGTGCTAAAAACACACAAAATACTAACTTTCTCTATTAAGTCCATCCAGATAAGTCTCTGTCTCCAGATTGAAACCTTTTTAAGCTTTCCCCACCTCTCCTTAAAGAAGTTAAACACACACAACTTCTTTGAACATTAAAAGATCAGGGAAGGGCATAGGGCAAGTCAGCAAACACCTTTCCCATCTGTACCAGTCTCAATCTGGAGTAAAGAAAGAAAGGAAGTGTTCTTTCTATCAGTTTGATTCACTGCCTCAGCCCAGATCAATTCAGTTTCTACAATGGAAAGATGTATGATCCAGAGACTCCACCTGGCTTGAGTATCTTTTATTTTTTTAATACCCATCTGGGCACAATCTAAACTGCAGGGACTGATTCATCACCCTTCAAGCTCAAATCCACAAACTCAACCCAGGCTTTCAAAAAGCCTGACACATGCAGGTCTTTGAGCAAGTCACTGTAGAAGCATGAAAGGAGTTTTTCACAGGTAATACAGTCAGAACACCTGCATTCCACACCAAAGTCTTCCCTAACATATTTAGACTCTAAGCTTCTGGGACTACTTGCAGGAATAGAAGCACACTGGTATTCACTCCTGACCAGAAAGAAAGAAACACAAGAACCTGCAACTTGTTCTAATAACTTGCACAAACAGCAGTTTTAATGTCTTTATGCAGGAAATTAAACTCTAGCAATCCGAGCAAGATTCATATCTCTACTGATCTGAAATCTGTAACTCCAAAACTAGCTCCTGTTTCACTATTACTGAAAAAATTTGTAAGAAAACTCTGTCCCTTTACGTGACACTTCAGGTCAGTCACTGCCTAAATTTACTTTACAAATTGCATGACAGCATAGTATCCCAGCAGTAGAGGTACTTGTAGTAACTACCTACTCAGGCTTCCAAACCAAATCACCCTGTACTGGGTATTACTAATGATCATTGCTACTATAACAGTGCCTCTGGCCAATATGAGTGATAAAACTATGATTCATATTTGATTCCTACCTTCAAGGAAAGAAGGCTCTAGTATTAAAAGCAAATAGGGAAAGTAGCAAACAGTAGAATAAGCAGAGGGAATTGGAGTCTTCAAACCATAAAGATGCTCATTTAAAGCTCCACAACCTCTTAAGCATAAAGTAAGAGGAAAGAAAGCTGTAGCTTCAGGAAAAGAGAAATATTATCAAATCGCGTAATAGAAGTTCCAATAATCAAAGCTTAAAATAGGAGCAAAATATTTTACATCAGGATACAAGACGTAGCAAGTCTGAAAATGCTCTCTGCAGTTTGTCAGTGAACTATACTGCCATTCAATGCCAAATAGTTAAGGCAACACAAAAACACTTAAGAATAAAGAAAGGAAGGAGATTGCAAAGTTGTTAAAAGTACTAGCATTCATTAACAAAGTCCTGGATCAGCAATTAGCAAGCCAGACGTCTTGCCCTGTGAAAAGAACAGGTGCTTTAGGGTACCTCATGAAACAGGACATGAAAAAGACCACCATACAAAGAGAACAGAAATACCACAACACACCCAGTTCTAACTTTTCATTAGATACTTAAGGTTTTAAAAAGGCTTCACTGCAGTCTTCTTAAAGAGTACAAAATAAGGCTCCTAGCACTGTCTCACACATGTAAACGACCCTAAAAAGCAGACAGTTTCTTGGATGAAACACACTAGTATTGCTATTGCAACTAACAAAAACAAAACACACACAAAACAAACATCATGAGGCAACATATTGCAAGTTTCCTCCTCCCATTTTCAGAAGGGCTCAAACTTCAATTTCTAACCTTAAAAAAACAAACTCTAAACTCCGCATTTTAAAGAAAAATCAACAAAACCAAAATTACTTGAGGAATAGAAGTACAACATACTTCCTAATAAAGCAAATAAACTCTTACGTTTTTACAGCAGTGGAAAACATACATACAAACTACAGCATTCTTCATTAGCAGTACACGAACAGATAACGTTTAGATTCTAATAAAGCAAAAACAACCTAAAACACTTGAAGGGAGGGGGAAAATTTGTGTTTTGTTTCGTTTTTGCTTAGGTCCCACTAAGCAATGTGGTTTTTTAAAGTCTGCCCTTCTTTCAAGCATTTTTACTAATCATAAAAGTCAATTCCCCATTGAAAATAAAGTAATCCCTTCTTTTACTGGCGATAAATGTCCTCCCTCAAGTTAAACTCCAGGGCTAAAAAGAATAATACTCTAAGCAATTCACAATTTTAAGTGATCTAGTTATTCTTGTAGGATTGATAAACAGGAATGAGATTTACAGTGCTGCAGAACCTTACATTATCCTTCTACTTAAGCATCTGTTTAGCTCTTGTGGCACGGTCCCCCAAAAATGAATGACACAACGTCTAACAGTGTTTTGCTTATCTGTTACAAATAATCAGCAGGCTCCTTATTCACAGACTTTCAAGACATATAGCCACAACAGGTTACTACATACGTGGAATTTTACATACTTCAAGCCGTCCCAAAGACAAAATACGTATGTGTTTTAGCAGAACTTGCCTGGAGAAGGATTTATCTAACTAGTGAGAGCTGCTATTTGTTAAAACACGCCTTGGTTCACGTATGCAGACAACTACAGAGCATGTCACGTGAACATCTGTCTATAAAATCTAGTTCAGAAATTGCTGGTGGGTTTGTTTTTTTTCTTTTAAATGCAGTCACTTTCACGTGTTTTACTACAGGGGCAATGTGTCCTCCTAGGAGGCAGCAATCGCTGTGCTCCCTGCTGCCCTTCTCCCAGGCACGGGCACAGCGAGGCAGCAGCACCATTGTCAGCTGCATTGTGCTGGAAGTCGGGGGCGGGGAGGCAGACCACCAGCGCACACAGCACCGGCTTCTTTTCACCTCCTACTGCACCAAGGCTACTCCCCAAAGCAGGCACGGCATGCACTAAGCTGAACCTTGTCTCCGGGGACTTTTAATTTCCTGGCTGGCACTAGTACTCTTCTTGACTTCACAGCATTACAACAAACATTTATAGGTACTGACATTAGCATGATGGTTACACTTTGGGAAAAACCAAAGTTAGAAAACACTGTCCTATGACGGCAATATAAAAAAAATACAGCAAAACAGAACACAAAACCGGAACGCTGTTTTAACTTTCCACCAGCAGGTCACATAGCCTAAAGCAATACTTGTAAGCAAAGTACTATATACATGCCAGGCCGAGCAACCCAGGAACTTGCGGTACAAGCAACTATTTAAGTCCCCGGCCCAGAAGACAGAAATGACGAGGGCATAACGAGAATATTACTTGGCAGGACAAGAATATTATCAAGGCAGGACAGAGCCTTGATAAAGGACGGGATGTTTAACACAGGCAATTAACGCTCAGCTGAGAAAGGAGGAGGAGAAAACCAGGCTTTCGCATTCCTAGGGCAAACAGAGGACCTGGCAAGCCTAGCCTAACCCGCACAAAGCCCGCTCCGGGGAAAAAGCATCCTACCGCACACCCGGGAATGGAAAGGAAAAGAAACAACTGTTGTGCAACATGGCTCATCCCTCGCTGCACTCCCGGCTTTCCAGGGCCAGGGCTGCCCCGGCGGCGATCCCGCTCTGTCGGACGCCGCCCCGGCCCCCGAGTATCCCTGCCTGAAGCCTGCCCGCGCTCCTCGCGAAACACCCCGAGGGAAGGAGGAAAAAGGATTAAAATGCAGGAGGAGAAGGGCCCAAACCCGGCCGAGGTCGGAGATCGGCATCCACACACACACTCCCCTAGAGAAACATTTCCCCCCCGGCGCCCTCCGGGCGGCTGCGACTCCGCTCGCCCCGGGCCGGGGCTGCCCCGCCGCGGCGGAGAGTGCGGGCGGGGGGGCGCAGGCAGCTCCCCCTGTACCGCCGGGGCCGCCAGGGCCGCCGCGCCCGCCGGCCGTCCCCCCGCGGCAGGGACAGCTGCCCGTACCTGGTCAGACATGGTTCGGCCCCGTGTCGTGCGGCAGGCTCGGCTGGGCCGCTACAGGCGCTCCGCTCCTTTCTCTGCCCGCAGCGCAAACACAGGGCCGCGGCTCGGGCGGGCTTTCCGGTGCGCCTGAGCTCACTTCCCGCCCGGGCTCCGCCCGCCGCCCCTCCCGGCGCTCGCACGGAGCTGCCGCCGCACCGGCTCCCAGCAGGGCCGCGGCACAGACCGCGATCGCCGTTGAAAAAGCGCCGGACGTTAAGGGCACCGTAGCGACGGGAGCTGCTGGGGAGAGTCCAGCGGGGGCTACAAAGATGATCAAGGGCCTGGAGCATCTCTCTTCATGAGGAGAGACTGCGGGAGCTGGGCCTGTTCGGTCTGGAGGAGATTGTGGGGGAATCTCATAAATGCATTTAAATACCTCAAAGGCGGGTGCCAAGAGGATGGTGCCAGACACTTCTCATGGCCCTCAGTGAGGAGTAACGGCCATAAACTAAAACATAATAAGTTGATCTCAGCTTGAGAAAGAACAGCTTTGCGTTGAGGGTGGCAGAGCACTGGAACAGGCTGCCCAGGAAGTCATGGAGTCTCCCTCTGTGGAGACATTCCAACCCCAACCTGGACATGTTCCTGTGTCACCTGCTCCAGGTGAACCTACTGTGGCAGGGCTTGGACTCGATGGTCTCCAGAGATCCCTCCCAACCCTGACAATTCTGTGAGTCACATAACCCTTCCCACAACAGCAGATCTTGGAGCAAAAGTCACTTTCATTATGCCTACCTCCAATATAATTGCTAAAGTTTTTACTAAGATAGTATGTCACAACAAAACTCACTTTTCTATTTACACAGTTTGCATTTTTTTAAGCCATTGCAGTCATGCAAGCAATGAGATCTGCAGGTATTGGGCAAATCTGCACCCAGGCAGTTGCATTTGCATAGGTATGTCATTAAAAACAGAACAGGTACATGCTTTACTTTGGCACAGCATGGCTATTCAGAGGTGTCCACAAGAAGCAAGACCTACCTAAAAGATTAAATTTAGGCTGCAAGCTGTTCGGACTATAGCATGGAGTCCTAACATCCCTCTACAACAGCTCAGGCAACTCCTGCATGGCATCGCTGCTGGCATAGACATATGCTTAGCTCTAAGTGGCCAGCAAGTAGAAAAAAAACAAACCCACACATGAGAACCATGAAATGACACGAATGTAAAATAAATGAATCAACAGAAGTTAGCTCAATTGAAATAGGAGATTATTATCCTCATGCTACTAAACGGAGTGTTAACTTTACCAGACACCTTTGGGAAAGGGCAGAGTACATTCATTAGCTCTAGGCAAGGGGCATTAATTAACACAAACACAAATCTCTGTGTGCCATGTTTCCCTGTAATAACACCAAACACCAAAGCAGCTGCACTCAGTACCTGCATTTCTGCATGTCACTGAATGCAGAGTTACAAACACAGCTACACCAAGAAGTGAACTTTTACCAGCCAGTGGAACAATCAGTAACTAGACTCATAGGAATTAGTTTTAACCACAACTTTTAAAACAATTCAGAATTAACAAGAGAGGGAAAAAATAAAGAGAACCAAAACAAATGCTATACAGAGCTACAGAATGAAAATGATCTTTCTTAGGCAAGGCCAAGCAGTCAGAAAAGCCAAATACGTTCATACTATGCCAAGCTCACAGTAAGAGCTCATTATGAGCTTAATAAGACACACAAAGCACCAAAATAAGCCATGCAAAGGCTCCACAGCAACACACAATACTAACAGAATGGAAAATGACAAATATTCTATCCTGAACATTACTGCTTTTTATAAATTTTACAGGGCTTTTTAAAAACAGAGCCTTACAGTGCTAAGGCCAAAGCCTCAGACTCTGGCACAACCTCAATTTCTTATGTAATCCCACAATAAAAACTAACACATGAGTCAGAAGGCAGTTACCTATCCATATACATAGCCATAAAGATACAAGGTTAGGATGTGCTCATCAGCATACACACTAGCAGTGTGTACACCACCTTTCTTGACTCTCTTCTTACTCCATCGGTTGCGGATGCATTTAGCTCTTCAAGACACAAGTTAGATTTGTACACAATCTTCAAAGTTAATCTCTGCTGAGCCTGTGAACATACAGCAGTAAAGCTCACACTTTTTTTTTTGACAGCTCAAATTCAACACAGAAAGCACTTAAAAACAACAAAAGCTGTTTTAAAAATACCAAATATACTTACACAAGCTTCTTCCTACAAAACCCAAAGTCAACTTTGCATTTGCATGCACCGCCAACGGTACTTGCCCCAATAACCTCACTGAGTTGTCAGGTGTTTTATAATGTCTCATTTCCCTATCTACACTTAATCTCAGTCACCCGAAGCCAATAAAGTTCACCTCTGTTGACTAATTTCTCCAAAGCTGCTGAATAGATTAGGAGCCAATAGCTGTAAGAGGTTTTCTCAAAGCCCACACATATAGTCCGTGCAAAGCTTCCTCAGTCTATCAGAAACATATTTCTTAAAAAAAGCAGACTTTAACCTAAGAACAATCTGTAATCTCATAATGCCAATTTGCTTGCTTGAAAGGGGTTAGTGTTAGCAAACAGGATGAATGCAGTGTTCTGGGGCAGCCAGCTAAGTAACAGTAGCTCTCGCATAATAGTAATAATGCTGCTGCCAGCAGGGCCAAAAGAAGTACTTTAAAACTAGGTGCAACCTGGAAATTCTCTACCTCCTTGAGCCTAATTTCTTTGGCAATATTACTGATTATTGGATTTAAAAAACTGGTTATGTTAGGTAAAATACCAAAGTCTTTCCTTTGGAAAAAAAATCTTCAGAATTACCCAGGTCTACAGATTTCTCTGCCTATTGGCTTTACAGCATACTCCTTACATGGAGGAAACAAAAGCGTGCTGACTCATACAGACGGTTGCATAAAATGCAGCAATGAATGTCTGATATAAATCAAAACCCAAGTGTTTCTTGGAGCCTCTCTTTCTGCGGGCAGGAAAATCTCTGCCTGTTTTCAGTACCGATAACCCTGCCTGTGAAATAAGTGAGGGTTTCTAAGGGCAAGGACCAGCGTTTTCCGGCTGCCTCCCACCGGCACGCAGCTGCTCGGTTCCTCAGCAGGGCCAGGCACAGAAGTAGGTCAGCCAGGCACCGCGCTGTGCACGCCCGAGCTGTGCCAAGGACAAAGCAGGAGGTGGCACCAAAGCAGGAGGGGGCACAAATGGCCGCCCCAGCGCCCCCAGCCCTGCCTTTCCCCGGACAGAATTGCCCGTGCCCCGGGGAGACGACAGCAGCGTTCAAAACGCGTGTTTTAACTGAGTAGAACTTGGTGCTTGTCTGTCGGCGAAGCCAGACCTTTGAACACACACAATCGCACCCTGTCAACAATTCTCCACGTAAAGGAGCTGTCCTCTGTGCGATGAACTGCGGGTCAGACTGTGGGAGCGAGAGCGGACACAGAACGCACTCCTCCGTGTGTGGAGGGCCGGGAGCGCCGGCTGAACCCTGACACCGAGGCCAGTCCGGCTCGGGATCGCCGAGGGGACCACCCACTCACACCGGCTGCGGGATCACTCGGGACACAAAGTCTCCAGCACGGCCACCCGCATCTCGGGGAACACACTCGCTCCCTGCCTACGATGGCTAACCCTGCCGCCAGCTGCGGCACCCGGGCAAGGGACAGCAGTTTGGGTGACTTGCCACAGGGGCACACCGGCGCCTCTCGGCCTCCCGCCTGTTCGTGCGTCAGTGCGCTCCAACCCGCAGAAAGGGCGGGGAGCGGCGCGGGCGCGGCCCCGCCACGTGGCTCGCGGGCGGAAGGCGGCTCTGCCACTTCCGCTTCCCGCGCACACACGCTTCCGCTGCCGCCGCCGCTTCTCCTTCCGGTTCCGCTGTGCGGCGCGCGCGTGCTCCAGCGAGGTCCGGTCTGGCGGCGCACGCGGCGCCCCCCGCCCGCCGCAGCGATGCTGGTGCTGTTCGAGACCGCTGCTGGCTACGCCATCTTCAAGGTGAGCCGCGCCGCTGGGGCTCGGAGGCGCGGTGGCTCTCGCCCGGCGAGCAGTGGCCACCGACCTGCGGCAGAGCAAAAGGGAGGGCGAAGGGGAGCGTGTCGGGCCTGCGGTGGGAATTACGGGGAGACACGGGCGGGGGGGAGAGCGAAGGAGGGCGCGAGGGTCCCCGCATCCCGTGCGCGGAGCGAGCAGGGCCGAGGATGGGAGCAGAGGGGCTGCGTTGTAAGCGAAGGCTCGGGGAAGGGGCTGCTGGAGGAGGCTGGAGGTGCTCGGCGGGCAGAAGGGGAGCTCCTCGGTGCCTGCTGGGCATCACCTGCGGCCCTCGCTTCCTCCCCGCTCCTGATCTGGGTTTGGTAGGAAGTTGTGCACTCGCGGCCGTGCCCCTTTCGGCGTGTGTGGAGACACCCGGGTTTGGGAGTGTTGTCTGTGCCCTCGTGGCCAGCAGAGCCCCGCGGATGCGTGAGGGGGCGCGTGGGAGACGGGCAGCGCCTTCCCGGCTGTGCGGGGCCGCCGCCGGGGCGTGCCCAAAGGCGGGGTTCGCGGGGAACGTGAGGGTCCCTGCGGGATTCCCGTGTCCCGACCTCGCTCCCCTAGAGGGGGAAGCAGACACCTTGACACCTTCCCAGGGTTTTGCCCGCCTCCTGACCGGGTGGCTCAGGACTGCAGCTTCCTGGGGCTTTGAACAAGCCTAAACTAGAGCTGCTACAGTGTCGTGTTGTCTGGCTTTTCTCTTGCTCCAGTGTTGATTCCTGTACTGTTTTACCACCTTTGTCATAGTTTGATCGCAATATCCTTATTTTTTCCCCTCCAGCTTAGTCTTAGAGTTTAGCTTGTGCGAACATGAGTGCAGGTGCAAAGAGAGGAAGGCTCTGATTTCCTTTGCCTGCAGCAGAACTGCACCCTTGCTGCTCTGTGGAGCGCTATATTTCCTTCCTCTGCCCTGAAACCTTTTCCCCTCATTGGGGTGAAGCCATGCAGTTCTGGCAATATTTTAATATAAATTTTAATATTTTAATTTCAGGAGGTAGAGTAGGTGTAAAGCAAAGGTAGGAGGAGGGACATACAGAGAGAACTGCAGGGAGGTCTCTGCAG